AATAGGGAACAATTCTCTCTCACATCAGAGCTTTTTCCTGCTTTTACCACTCAGTATATGTGGCAAACACCCATATTAACGGAGTTATCACAACTTTATATATTTTAGAATCAAAGTTTCAGCTGGGAAACAACTCTGTTTCAGAAATTTTAAGTAAATACTTTAAGAAAAGAAACAAAGACCAGTGCCGATGAGGGCTGGTGAACTAACTTACTCTGATATTAGTGTCAGACTGTGCTTTTGTAACTGGAGGTGAAGGATCCGTTGGGAGGCTCTGCTGGACAAGTTAGTGGACACACCCACCTGGGCCAGTCCTTGTGGAGCTAAACAGGTTGATATCGCAATGCATGAAATTGTACTTAGGGAGGAATTGTTCTGAATTTTAAGCAAAGGGAAGAGAAATGTTTAAATAAGTATGAGACGGAAGCTTGCTTGCCTGATATTTATGTGACTCTTTGTACATCTTTTGTTCAACAACAACCTGAAATGAATTAAAATTCCTCTGGGGAACTCAATCTTGGCATTATACGGTACCACATTAAATATCTTCCGCTAAACTGAGATCGTATATAATGGGTGCCTTAATTGACAAAGGGAACAGCACACCCAACTGTATTATCTTTAATTCTTTTGCATACACGTATTTTTCCAAAATTGTCCCCAATTTTTTTTTTTTTTTTTGCTTTGATACTAAGGATCACCTAGTGTCTTAGCCTCCTGGATTCCGTGGATAGAAGCAATCGCTACAAAAAAAGGAAAAAGGAAGTTAGTGGTTTTTGTTTTTTTTTTATGTTTTGTGTAAATTTGATTTGGACATCCCAGAGTTTATGCCTCTGTACCTTTGTTTGAGAGAGTTTTATTTTAGTGGAAAGAACTGTAAAGCAATGTAATTGTCAGCTCTAGGTTCAGCCTTGGTAAGGCACAGTGATGGCTTTGCACAAAAGAAAAGAACAAAATGATGAACTCAATAAAAAGTTAAATGCTTAGTGTTTGAAATATGGTAAGAATTGCACCAGTCTAGATTGTTGCATGTAAGCTGGGTTGAGTGAAATTTCAAATTTTAGCAAGTGTCATGATACTGTACAAGTGATCTTGGTGAAGGGTGTGGCTAACAGGATGTAAGTAATAAAGTGAAGGAATGCAATAAAGCTGAACAATTAACCATCCAGTCGTATTGAAATAGTTTTGATTAGACTGGTTGTCATTCTAGATAAAGTAACCTAAGAATTAGGCAAAATAGGTCTTTCATGAATATAGAATACAGCAATGGAGAAAAGTCATGAAGTGAAGATATGAAGGTGTCTCTGGCTTGTATGGGGATTCAGATCTCTGTTATTAAAGGTGCTTTCTGAGGAGAATTCCTGGATCAAGTTTTAAATGTTGACCACATGTTCCAACACACACACACACAAGTCTTGCACCATTTGGATTAATACTGTGCATTCCAAAGAAAACACCAATGCCCGTTTTCAACCAGTGCTCTCAGGGGCAGGGAAAGGACTGCAATGTCTAATTTGTTTTGAGCAAAAAGGGCCATAGGTATATGCCTGTTCAATTAAAAGGACAATCTGTAGAAAAGCAGTAGTTCCCCTTCAATTATCATCCACTCTGTTGCCACAAATATCCCACACACTAGTTAGAGGTCTAGTAACCCAGACTCCCTAACTTACTGAGATATATCTGAAGATGCTGCTTAGAGGAGAGGGGCTTGTTTGCCTCTTAACAAAAAGTGTATTCAAAGATGCTGATTAAGGAATTTGATGCTCAAGACAAGTCTCTATAAAATGCTTATATACAAAATTGTTGTATCAAGAAATAAAATGGTTTAATACACAGAAGCCAAAATACAGCCAGGTTTTTTTGGTGGTATAGAATATGATATTACTCAACATCTTTCTTAGCCATAGATATAAATTTCTGAAGGACAGACAGATTTATGGTAGAACTGGTTTGTGAGTTCTCTGCCTGGATATGGTCTCAGTTGTAATGAGATGGACACTAACACAGGGTTTGCTTTTCTTTAGTGAGGCCATGAATCTATTCCTTCATTGTTCAGTTAGGTGCAGGAGAAACACCCTTCGGCTTGGAAGGGTGGAGTCTGAGAGTCTGAAAGGTGGGATGAGCTTTGTAGAGCATGTGTCTCAGTGTCCTGACTTTCTAGAAACAAACACCAGGGGACAAGGGATATATGTGCTGTTCCCATGTAGTTAGCTGATGGGCAAATGCATTAACTCTAGCTTGGCCTCCATTTGCATATGTGATTAGGCAAGTGGAGCTGCCCTAAATATTCCACCCACTTATGCTATAAAGTGCAATTTTGTTTATCAAGAGTTATGCTATTGCTAAACATAACCTGGGCAGCAGTTAAGCATTAAGGAAAGCATCTAATGGCAGTGTTAGTGACTAATAACTATGGTCACATTTATTAAACACAAGTATTTTCTAACAGAATTCTCACAACATAAGTCTATTCCAGCCACCATTTTTAAACAATGTGGAAACAAGTGCAAAGAGATGAATGAGTTTGCAGAAAGTCCTAGACCTAGGAGCATCTGCTTAGGGGTTTTTAGGCTGTAGTGCTGGTCTTCTCATCTCCGTTCTTCAGGACTGATTGCCACCCTTACGTCACAGACTACTTTTTGCATGTGGGAAAGTGAAAAAAAAATAATAATGTTTAGGCATTGACAGAATCCATGTCCCTATTTGTAGACTACATATAATTGTTGAAAAGAGTTTCTTGTTCACCCTTAAAAATAGGGAAAAGAAAGCATGCAGGACCAACTAGAGAAGCCCACTTGGATCAGTGCCAAGTATAGTGATGACATATTCACTGTGCTCTGACACTGCAGTGTGGGCATCTAGAGGACACAGTTCCATCTTCATTCATGCCTGTTCATAACAGGTGCTCAATAAATCCTCAAAGAAATGAATGATCATAGATCATAAGAACTTCTCTAGAATTAAGTAGCATGAGCATGTGAGGAAACATTCCTTTAATTTGAATTGTTGCCAAGTGTTGGTAGATGATATGATTAGTTTTCATTTCAAAACATTGTATTTCCATTTTCAAAAGACATAACTTTTCATACTTTAACAATTTTGTATTATTACTATTTAATTTTTTTAGAACAAAAATAACTTGAACTCCAGTCAATCTGAAAGACCACTTAGGAAGGTAATTAACTTTCAGGGATGCACAACCTTGTTAATATTTAAACTATGTAAGATTCACTGGTGTCATTTTAGTTGTAGGAAAACTTAACAGGAGAAAAAACCTTTGGATAACAATACCTTATACAATTGGGAAATATAGAATTTTGCTAGAGGGCAGAGAGGGAGTGATGATCCTTCAGCTGAGGCATTATCTCTAGAATCCTTGAAGTAATAACTTGGCTTCCTTAACTAGGTAGAATTAATTGCCATAAAGTTATGCTTATCTTTCTTTGCCCAGAACACCTATTACTAAAGTACTTGGTAGAAATGAATACCCAATAAAGGTAATGCTTTAGCTCCCTGCAAATCATTTTCTTATATTTCCACCCAAATTGCACTTCGTAGCAGTAACTACCTATTTTTCTGTATGTCCACCACATAAGCAGATAGACTAATGTTAAAAATACAATTCAATCTCATTAGATAGTTGGAATTAAAAGACCATTTGATTTGTTAACTCATTAGGGCATAAAACCAAACAAAGCATGATAAATTTTAACAAAAAAAATCATTAGTAAACAAACAACTTCATCTAGCCTCCCTTTTCAACAATTTCTTAGATTTGGGGATAAAATCTTTAAATTTAGCACAGCCTTAAAATATAGATTGACTGGCAACCAAAATGCTAATAAGCTTTCATAAGATGTTAAATTGTTAAATTTCCGTAGCTACGTTCCAGGTTACGAAACATGACTACACTTGTAAAAAAAAAATCAGAAGGAAAATTATTTGTAATTGAAAAAATTAAAGTCTGGGACTCACTATTTTCAAAATATCTTTCTAAGCTTTTGGAAGAAAGTAAAAGAAAGATACAATAGGTAATTTATAACCTTAAATAGCCAATTTTTTTTCTTTTGTCAGTTGACTTTTCTTTTGATTTTTTGAACTGAGCCAATTATACCAGTTGCTTATACCACACTGAATGTGCAATCATGGTAAACGTTACATCCATCCACCCATCCATCCATCCATCCATCCACTCACCCACCCACCCACCCTTCCACCTATTCATCCACTCATCCACCCACCCACCCATCCATTCACCTAGTCACCCACCCACCATCCCTGCATCCATCCATTCATCCACATATATCCATTTAATGTGGTTATTGCTGCCAGACTTCCTTCCATACTTTTATTATTATAATATTAGTTAACAGTATCATACACCTACTATTGTTCAACTCTATGGAATAGAGAAAATTTATTTACAGTCCTCACTTTCTTCACATCAGTCACAGGTAAAAATTAGTACCATCATTTTTATAAGTGAGTGTCAAATGTACCAGTGAAAGTCCTATGCTCTTTGTTTTGTTTTATTTTGATTTGATTTTGGTTTATCAGTAATCCCTTCTGTGGCTCAGGTATTTAAAACTTCATGTAGCAATGGTATAATAGTTATCAATTGCTTGGATTACTAGACAGGTCAGGATTAATGTGGTTGTAGTGGTCTGTGATACCTGAGTTACACTATGAAACCTTCTAGAGAATCATTATGGAAAATACCAGGGGGTCAAAAAGGGATTATTCCCTAGAAAAAATTATATTAAAATTTATCTTTCTTTTATCACTGATATATTTGCATAAATAGTTCAGATTCATAAATTTTAATTTATAAATTTAAGGAAAGAACACAAATTACAAAAGTTCATTCCAAATTATTATATCATTTTATTTGAAATTGAACTAACAAGTCCGGACAGCAATGAGAAATAAAGGAAACTTCAAGCTGATATAAGGGGTACTCAGAGCACCTTGCTTTTATCTGTCCTCTTGATGAAAGTATGATGCATTTTCACTCTGCAGGAAGTGTTCTCTGTTATACGAAATCCTCCAAGATGATGAGTTCTAATCCTGAGGAAGACCCTTTGGACACATTTCTGCAGTATGTGGAGGATATGGGGATGAAAGCATATGATGGCTTGGTGATTCAGAACGCCTCAGACATTGCTCGAGAGAATGATCGCCTGAGAAATGAAACGAACCTGGCCTATTTGAAGGAAAAGAATGAAAAACGCCGAAGACAAGAAGAAGCCATAAAGCGGTAAATATACCTTTTAAGAAAGTTTTCTGGGTTTTGTGCACATGAGGAAATCTGTGCGTGTTGCTCAAGTTGTGGTGGTGGTACCTGCTGGAGAAGCGGCTTGCCCATGTTAGCTGGACTTGGCCATAGGATGGGACAGGGACGCCTCAACAATAACGAAATCCTCAGCTTAGTTAACAAAAGTTATTTACTTGTGTGTTGTGCATGGGGAGGTACAGATGGGATGCATAAAGAATTCAATTTCTTTTAAATAAAAGCTCATGCCCAATAACCTTTTGGTGAAAGCACAGGGAACACACAAACACTGATAGCCAGAGTGTGATGAAAATCCCCACCCATCAAGGCTCTTGTTTATAGTTGTTACCATAACATCGAATTCATTTTCTTCCTAGATTATGACCAAGATTCACTAATAGTTAGACTCAGGTGATCCTCTGAAGGCAGGTGGAATTCTCGGTGTGTGCTCTCTGTGCAGAATTTTATGTCTTTTCAATTTCTTGTTCAGTACCAAGTGCTCAAAGTTGGTTCAAATTAAATTACTTTTATGATGCAAAACCTACCAGCTACAAACTTATGAGCCCCAGAAGGCAGCCTTCTGAATGGAGTTTAAATTTTGTAGGGCACTGACACCAAAAGAAGAATACACATCCTTTGATTTTTGGAAGGAATGTTTGTGTTTTGGGTCTATATGTGTGTGTGTTGATGAAGTTGTATTTGATGAGTCTTGTTTCTTCAATAGACTTCATTTACTAAGTGCAAAATTCCAGAATATAGGAAATCAATTTATATCAATTAGCTGGATAAATGAATAATAATTGTTCAGATATTTGGACAGTTCACTGGTTGATTTTCCATCTCATCTGGTTTAAAACTTTTACTTACTCTTTGTGAACATTATGATATTAAGGACAAGAAAATATTATTTTATGATGAACTACTCTTACATGCAAAAAATGTATGTAAGTTCAGACTACTCCAATAATTCAATAAAAGTAATTTATGAGGGAGAAAGAGAGAAAGACAGACAGAGAGAGAGATTTGGAGGCAAAAAATAAAAAGAAAGAAAGAAAGAAATAGAAGAAAATATTGTAGAAGATTGTTTTGAAAGAGTGTACTCTTTTTCTGTTGTTGTTTTTTGTACCATTAAAATGGAAATGTATCCTCTTACCAGATATAAAAATGGTGTCACTTTGTGTAACTGATAAACATTTTCACAACTGCATATAAACATATGCATATGTTTAGAGTCAATTAATTTATTATTAGGGACTTTGTTACTTTTTAAAATTCTAACGAGTTTTGAATGGTATCCAAGATTCTTTTCTGTAGCACCTAATTGTCCTTTCTTAGAACTTTTTTTCTGTAAAGTTTTTCCGATATGCTTCTATATGTGTGTGAGCCCTTTAGTTTTATGAGTCTGAGGTTTCTAAAATTTAAAATAGAGGATGGCCTACAATTGATTTTCAAAGTACCTTCGGCTCTAAAATCTAAAGTTTCCCAACTTTGTCATTAAAATTCAATAATTAATTATTTTTAATAAGCATACAAATAAAATTATTTCCTGAATCATGCTGTTACATTTAACTAAACACCCAAAGTGTGCTTGTAACAATACCATTGACCACTTTTAGTAGACTTATAGATCTAGACTAGTAGATCCATGGATATTCAGAGGATAAAATGGCTAATGTTTAGGTAGTTCACTGCCAAGTGTTCACGGCTGAATAACCATGGAATTCTGAAGTCCAAAGGGTGTAAGAGGAAGAATTTAGGTCAGCCTGGGACACAGCAAAACTTTGTCATGACCTATGTGAGGGCCAAAAAAACCCACTTACGTGAACTTTGAATTGATTCCTATTAGATTAGTAAAGCAGTATTTTCCATAGTTATGTTACAAAGCAAACAAGTAAAGATAGTTTAGATCACACAGAGAATTGAAAAAAACATCAAATGTTATAGAGACATATACCTCCATGTCTCCCCACCCCCCAGCAGCAGATAAGACGTTATTCTCACCCTGCTTGAGATTAGAGCAAAGAATAAGAGTGTGGTACTCTTCCTGTTATGTTCTAATTGGTGAGAGATAATGTTGGTTTGAACTAGGCTGGCAGCAGTAAACGTGATGTAAAATAATCAGAATTTCCTGATTACTGAGAAATTAATGCATATGAAAGAGAATGTGAGGTGGCTCTCAAATTGGGCCTATATTGTTGCTTCCTCTTTTACTGTGTCTCAGAACTAGAAAAATGATTCCTCTATTTAATGAGATGATGAAGACTAAAAGAAGAGCCAGTTTGGGGTAATTGGTGGGGGAACAGGAGCTCAGCTTTGGTAAGACAAGTTTGTGAAACTTTTTAAATCTCTCAGAGGACATGCTGGAGAGGCAGTTGGATAGAGGATCTGGGATTTATAGTAAATACAAAGTAAGAGAAATAAATATAATCATTGTATTCTATAGCTGTCACAGTTTGGGGCCTCGATGAAGATAACTAGGACTTAAGTTTAGATAGGGATGAGCAAATAATCCAGAAATGTTTCCTGAGGCATCTAAGTGTCCACATGCTAAGACCAGTAAAAGAATCCAGCTAGTGAGAAAGAAGAAGAATCACACAGAAGAATGATGGCTTGAAAAATTGCCAAATGACCAGAGAAGAGAGAGAGTTTTTGCTGGTAGATCAAATGCACTGAAGCTGGAGAATTGACTGTTCCCTTTTCTTGACATTGACGGTGTTAATGAAAACAGTTTCACTGAAGGGCAGAAGACAAACCCAATGCACTTATGTTTATGAGAGAATGGAGGAAAAGGAAGTAAAGCCAGGATGCAGAGAGCTATTCTGAGGACTTTCGTGGTTTAAAAAAAATTCAAAAATATGGAGAGTATTTGGAGGGGCCAGTGGGATCTGTAGCTAAATATTGTTGTTCCTGTGAGAGAAAATTAGCATATTTGGAATACTGACGTGAGTGATCACTGTGGAAAGGGAAGTACGGTGACTTGGGGCAGGGAAAAGATGACTGTGAGAATGTCCTTAAGTGGATAGGACAGCCCATGGAGCACAGACCACTCATCCCTTGTAAGGATGCCACACGGACAAGGGGGGATGATGAATGGATGAGGACCCAGAGCCAGACACAGACACAGATGGGCCCACGCCTGCTTCTCTAAGGCCACTGGCATAAGTTGAAATCAGAAGCCACACAATAGGTAAAAGTTTTGAAAAAAACAGAACTGAGGAAAAAAATCAATAGTAGAATAAGAAACAAAAGAGCAGAATTATTGTTCAGCATTGCTCAACTGCCTTCTTCCTGCTTCTCCAAAAGCTTCAGTGCAGTTAAAACTACAGACTGGAGTGAAGAGCTGGAGCCTGGGGTGTAAGGGAGGATCAGTAGTTGGAAAACAGCCTGCTGGGAGGGAAACCAGGACAGAAGTCCGTCCCTGCCTGCAGGGCTGGACGGGGCGCAGAAGAATGACTTCCATCAGTGGATAATCACAGGTCGAAACCCCGAAGGCAACAGTAAAAATGACCAGGTGCACGTACCCAGTAGTCAGTTGTGGGGTACGTCGCCCATCAGGGTGAGGTCAACCATGTCCCAAACATCATTTTATTACTGTTCCCGCAGTTGTTACCAAGCTAGGATTTGAAAGATGTAGTATGTGTCTTGCTCTTTGTAAGTCTCATTCTTTCCTACTCTTCCTCTCCAAAACATTTCTCTGGAATTCTAATTTAAAGTGTAAATATATTTGGGAGAAGCAAATTACTAACAAAGCCTCCCGAATTGTTGAGAAGTCTCAGGTGTCTTCTATTTCCAAAAGCAGGACCTGTGTACAGCCTGAGGACAGAGATGACTGCTGGATATTTGGGGGGAGGTGGGTGAAGAGAGAAAAGTGAATGAAGCGGAGTTGGTGGAGGTGGGACAGGAGGAGGAGCTGTGGGATTGGCTGTGGGATCTCAGTGGGTGATCCAGTCTGGTTTTTTGATGTAATGTCCAAATCCATTTCATTTTGTTCATAGAATGACAATAATCTTGGAGTTCTCACCACTTAAAAAGAATAATAATCTTTCATTCTCCCTCTCAAAGTACACTTTTGAGTTGCTGCTACTTTCATAATAAGAAAGGTATTTTTAAAATGTTTGAGAAAGTCCATTGCAAGATTCTAGTCACACCAGCAAGTGAGGTTGCAGAAACGGTGGCAGCTGCAGAATACCAATGCCACATCTGAAGTTAACACATATTGTAATATCTTTAACATGCAGTGTTCATCAAGTAGAGAAACGAACTCGATATGGCATTAATAAACATCGTCTAATTAATTAAAATTATTTAACATGTCTGTTCAAAGCCTTCCTAAAAGTATACTATGATTTAATATATAGCATGTAAGTCCTAAAAATCTAAAGAGGAGGCATGTTTGACCTTGAAAAGGCACTGATGATAATTCTCTGTGAAATATGCCAGTTGCAATTTCAGAAATGTGCAGACTGCCAAGGATTGCTTAAAAAATGGAAATAGGATTTCATGTGATTGACCTTCTGGATCACATATGTGCTGAAATGCCTTTTGTTCTGAAGCTGGGAAGCTTAAAACACTGAGCTCTTAGGCAAAGAATATCCTCGTCACTTTCTTGGTGTTCTAAGTCACTTAGGCTTTCTGAGCCCAGTTCCTTGTTTCTGTTAAATTTCTCGTACCTTCACTTCCATTTCTCAAATGGGATTTTGCTTAAAAGACTGGCTGGCTGAAAAATACTAAATAAATAAAAAGTTATGCTGTGTTTTTCTTAACAGCTTCAAGTAACATTTGGTGAGAAAGAAAGACTTACAGGGAACAACTTAATGAACAAGGAGAAATTCTTTCAGCAGCTCCCATCTTTTCTGCTGTTTTAAATCTTAATAGTTTTGTGCAGGCACTGTTAAATGAGATTTACTTTTTATTAAAAAGTCTATAAGAAGACTTGCAAAACCTGTGTCTTTGAACAAGTGAGTCCACCTGAGATGGGCTGCCAA